CTTGCAGCTCGCCTGCCTCTGTCTCCCCCTTCTCCTTGCCCAGGCCACCCCAGAGAACTGTTATCACAAAATAATCCCTTTGGAATGACCACAGATGATCTGGGATTGAGGACGTCGCTAAAATAACTCAGCCAAACCCAGCACTACCCAAATAGCTTTGCAATGCAGGAGGCTGGATCCCTTCTCCTCGAGAACGCTGCATCTCTCCAGGGGCACAGAGATCGAGCACCCCGAGAGCTGAGGTCCCAACCTCAATATGGCCTGCTGCCATGCTAATCGAATCCCCATTTGTCTTCACTGCGGTGGGGTGAGGCCTGTGGTGGCCAGGAGGGGAGAGCGCCAGTATTTCAGCAGCATGGAGCAGAGGTGCTAGCATCAGGGTGCCAGGAGAGCCCAACTCCTCCCCTCCCTTCACCTTGCATGGCATTCACGTAGCCAGAGCGTGTTGCACTACTGGAAACACCCCCGCCTCAACCTCCCTTCCAGCCAGCTAGAAAACACTGTTCACAGATCACCAATTATGTCACTGAGTCTCCCCGGGTCCTTTGCAGCACAAGGAACAGGATGCAGTCAGAGATAACAACCTCCTATTATATCTCCGTAACATTTCCCCACATCGCAGCCTGACTCATCAGATCCTGTGTTCCTGTGCTTCCACGGCAGCTCATGTTTAATACTCATGATGTAAACACGACGCTGCAGTGAGCCGCAGAGCACTGACAGAAGCCACAAGCATGTTCTACCCGTGTCCCAAGCGTGAGAGAATAAAACCCTCCCCTGTACAACAGAAGCAGGTGGTCTTCACACAGCTGCTTCCTCTGCTTTTGCAGCGGTTTTGGTCTCCCTTGTTTGTTGCTATTACCTGCTGCTGCTGTTACCTTTCTACAGCACATCTATCCATGCACCTGGCTGGTGTCATGGGCTGGGAATGAGATGAGATCCTGACCTGAGACAGAACCACACACAGGACAGCAGTTCAGGATAGCCAAGGTGTGCAGATAAAAGTAGTGGTGAAGTCATAGACTCATGGAAAAGGAGGGTGGGAAGGGACCTCGGGAGGTCACGTCTAGTCCAGCCCCCTGCTTCAAGCAGGACCAGTCTCAACTATATCATCCCACCCACGGCTTTGTCTACCTAGGTCTTAAAAACCTCCAAGAATAGAGATTTCACAACTCTGGGTAACTTGTTCCAGTGCTTTGCTACCCTCCTAGTGAGAAAGTTTTTTCTTAATATCCAACTTCAACTTCCCTCGCTGCAACTTCAGCCCATTGCTCCTTGCTCTGTAGAAATCAGCTTAGGAGGGAGAAATGGGATCTGAAATACTCCAGTTACAAGGCCCCCAACAATACCCACGGTGCAGACAGAACTGAGCGACCGCGTACGTGTAGGATAAATTTGAGTTTATTGAGTGCAGCTTGGTCCAAAAACGCAGCTTACTCACAGAGTCTGTTGCCGTCTACGCTATACATGTATTCACACTGCATATTCCCTACATGCATTGCCTACAAGCTGCTTTTCCCCCTTTCATGAGTTGTGTCTTTCCTGTCCTTCCCAAGGTGCAGCCTTGGGGCATTTATATCAAGGTCTGGGTATCAGTGCAAGGCTAATGCCAGCAACTCCAAAGCACAGCTTGGATGATGTGTGTGCAAGCTTCCCAAATGCTGCTTTCCTAGGTCCAGCACCCAACCCCAAGGACCACAGCAGAGCTCAGCTGAGCCCTGCCCTACCCCAGCCCTTCCTGCCCTGCTCCCACATAGCACCCAGACTCAGCCCAGTGCTCTCGGCCTTTCCACAGCAGCAGATGCAGATGGTAGCACCCGAATCCCAGGTTTTCTGCTGTGTAGAAATACCCCCTGATCACTAGGCTGACAGCACCAAACCCATTGCATCTGTGTTGGAAAGGGGATGTAGCCAGGCCCCGCCACAGGAGAAAGGGGAGCACATTGCAGTGCTAATCCACGCACCCTTCAGCCCTCTCATTCCTGCCTGCCTGGTTCAGAAAGGCTTTCACAGGTCTCAGGACCCATTAGAGAGGAGGAAAGAAGTAGACAAGTCCTAGCTTTGCATCAGCAGCCTGTATCCAGTGTCTTTAAGTCCAGACCCACCACTGAGTTTCAAGAGACCCCCACCTCCTGGGTATCCCTCATCCCAGCCTCCTCTTTCTCCACTTGCTGTATCCCCTTAACTATGTCCTCACTGTCCTGCGGCAGCTGGCAGCAGAAGCAACTACTTGGGGCCTGTCTGGCTTATACCTGTTCATGGTATACAGGGTCTTTGACCAACAGATACCAGATCTGAAACCAGGATGGGCTGATGGAGACTCGAAGTTTTCATCCTCCTGTGATGGGGGGGAGCCCATGTGTGGGCAGTCCTGTTCCCAGCTCCCCAGGGTCCATCAAAATGCCATCACAACTTAGTGGCCATCTCTGCAGAGGGGTCAGGGGATGAATGGACTGAGTGTACAGAGCAGGATTCCCAGTCCTATAGAGGCAAGGTCCCTCTTGGACTGCGGGGAGGCGCTTTAGGTTAGCAAACAGATCCATGCTCTGTGCAGCTCCCCCATGCACTGACCCGTCCTTCCACAGAGATGCCAACCTCTCCCTTGCCTTTAAAAAATACATTAGGGCAGCGTAACAAGGCCCATAAGGGAGGCAATAGGAGCTGCCAGGAGACGAGGCTTTGTCACAAGAGCCTTCCGCCAAAGGGCTATCAAGATCCATCAGCTGAAGCCAAACACTCCAGCACATTTCCTTTACAAGGACAAGATATTTCTGTCCTAAAACAAGCCTGACGCCAGCTATGTTTCTGCAGCACAGCTGGGCAACACATGTGTCCTGGGCTAATGGTGCTAATACAACAGCCTCAGAGCTTTGCAGAACTGGAAGAAAAAGCTTGAGACCTTCCTTACAGTGGACCCAACAAGCACAACTCCCCTGAATAAATCCCTTTGGCCAAACCCCATTTCCCCTCTTGGTTTCTTTCCAGGCTTGGCCTAATTTGGTTTGGAGAAATTTGAGGCATGCTGATGGGATCACCCAGCCACGAGGAGCCAGGCCTCACAGAAAAGGAGAGTGGCACAGAGCAGATTCTTGGAGCCAGTCTCGTATTCAAAGTGAGCCCATCTGGAACCCATTTGTACAGCTCTGTTCCTGGAAGTCAAGCATTTCCCTTTGGGCTCAGGGCTTCACAGCTCTGTCGGCTCTGATGAGCTTGCTGGGCGAATGCCAAGCAGCCGTTGCGAGAGGAGTGCGTGAGACGAAGCCCGAACACGAATGCTCTGCGCCATGCGAAGGGAGATGCTCTATGGATGCCTCCCCCTTGCAGGCTCCAGAAACAGCTCCGTGCCTGGGCGTTACACGTGACGGACACACTCTCTAGGCTGCATCGTGGTGACTAACGTAGTTCTGGTCCCATGAGCACAGCCCCGTGTGTCCCTGGCACAGCTTGGCTGTTCCTCCGGTCCCCATCGCTCCCTAGCGCTCCCTCATGTTGGAGTCAGCCTGGTGAACCATCTCCCTTCCTCCATGGACCTATCCAGCATGGCCCGAGGGAGGCTGCCCCTGCCCGGGGCTCTGTTCTCACACTGCCCCGTTGCGTATTGGGTGAGTCCGCACCCTGTAGATGATGACAGCTGTGGCCGGGCACAGGACCAGGGACATCATGATGATGATGGTGGCCAGGATGATCAGGACGATGGCCCAGATGTCCAGGATGTGTTTGGGGATGCCCACGGCGGTGTCGGAGCCATTCAGTTCTTCCATCCTCCCCCTCTCCTTGCTGCAACAGAGAGAGGGAAAGTTAGTGACAATGCAGGGCACAAAGCAGCGTGGCTCCAAAATCATCCGAGGGCTCCATGCAGAGCTGCAGCTCCCTGTATGCCAGGGCCACTCTGCAGCGTCCCAACCCCAAATCACCTTATCCCACCTCTCTCAGCCCTTCCCCTCATCCTTTCCCCTCTCCATCTTCCTTATTCCAGCTTACCACCTTCACATCATTCCTCCCTGTCGTTCCCTTACCTTCCCCCATCACTGGCGATGGAGTCGTTAGCTATATTTCCCCACTTTTGGGGATTCACAAGCTGTGTCTTCATGGCCCTCTCAGCCTTTCCAAACCTACCGCAAAATAACAACTGCCTTGTGGTGGTTTTGCACATCGTTTTAACACCTCAGCCTCTTCTCTACTGTGTGCTCTGCTGTCACGATCACCTCTAGTAAGATGAAAGAGCAGTTACTAACAGGATAAATGAGCTTTGGGGGTGATCTTTAAAGTCCAGCCCCCTTGTCGAGAGCTGCTTGCTGCTGCTAGTCTACACAGTCTTGTAGTTTTTTTATCTTAAATTTAAACTTTTGGAAACACACAATCCTACAAGGGCTCCTTGGTACGCTCCTTGGGGTGTGCTTCACTGGTGAACACCTACATTTTGCAAGGGTCTGCAATTCTGTGCAAGGAAGAGGTGGCAAAACCTTCAGCTCGCACACTCAGAATTTCCAGAGCAGAAAAAGCTGAGGCTGGCACACGCGGAAAGGAGCTGGGATCCAGAAGTGCTGCCCCCATCACTGCCGCTGACTCATGCTGAATAAGCCAGTGACTTGACATACATATACACCCACATTTACAATCTGCAAAGCAGCCCTTGCCAAGCTGCTGTGCAGAGACTCAGCATCTGTGAAGTGCTTGGAAAAGCTCATAAAAATGCTCTTAATTTATTATGCGATCTGACGAGGTCAGAGCCCAGTCATTCCAGCCGGCCGCGCAGCAATGGGCAAGTGCCCAGGAGGAGAAGTCTAAAGCAAGCAAAGAAATCCAGGTTTGATTTCCAGGAAAGAAGTGAGTTAAGGACCCTACAAGAGTGAGACGCCCGGATCCCACTGGATTTCAGTGACTTTTGGGCCCTATAAGCAATTTGGGAAATCCCAGACTCAAAGCTCCTGGCTCAGGCTGCCAGCACTGGCGCCTGTGTTCACTGAGGATTTCCCTGGGATGTCTGGCGTTAGGGATGGGACCAGCCAACGCCTTTTCTCTGGGCTGTTTCCTTGCTCCTCCAGTGGGTTCTGGCAACACCGGGATGCGGGATTCATGCTGTGGCATCTTCCAGTGGATTCAGGTGCCTGGAGGCATCTCTCCTCCCTGGTTTCCTGAGTCACGGACTTAATAGTTTAATAAACAGCAACACTTTGAATGACACCATCAGACAGGACTCCATGCTCTGATCCCTCTGGCCTTTCATGCACGCCCACACTGCTCTGTTCATCTTTTCCCCTCAACTCTAGGGTGCGAGTTGTCAGAGCTGTTGAGCTCTCGGCTTGTCAGAGCTGGGCTCCAGGCCCTGCTCTTACCCTGTTTGCAGCAAATTAGTAAACCTGGATGTTATCTGTGAAGATAAGATGCAACACCACTCCTACACGTCTCACTGGATGCTAATGCCTGCACGTTGCAACAGCCCTGGCAAATGCTGGAAGCAGAAATACATCAGGCAAACCTCACAACGCTGCTAGAGGTGGCTAAGGAGAGCGGCTGAGGTTCTCCAAATGGGTTTAGCATCTATTACCCAGACTAAACTGACGCAGGATCCTTAATGCAGAGAGTGGGTGTCAGGGACCCCTCAAAGGAGCTCGAAGCTCCCCAGAGTTGCTAGATCAAGTGAGCAAATCTGCCCATGAGAGGCAGAGTAGTGCTATTGTGCCCATCTGACGTATGGGCAGCTGAGGCAAGTATCATAGTACTTAGGGACCTAAATCACCAGGTCTGACACCCTGCCCTGGGCAGGAACGGGTGCCGGGATCTTATGTCCCCAGCCAAGTATCTGTCCAAGTGAGTTGCCCAAGATCCCCTGGGAAGTCTGTAGCAGAGCAGGGAACTGAACCTGGGCTTCTCACCACTGCAGCCTCGCTCTGGGCAAGAAGAAGTGTGGCTGCAATGCCTGGAGGTAGATCCTGGTTGGCTGGCATCCAGCTGGCTCAAGGAACCATGCCCTGAAGAGGCAGGGCCAGGAACTCCAGCAAGGCAGGTGTATAGCCTATGCTGAGGTCTGCTCCATCCTGCCACAGCTGTGCGGCTGCCTGAGCTAGCTAGAGGGAGCTTGCTCAAATATGCCCACAGGCGCTGCAATCACACCTCAGACTGCAGGGCAGACGGGGCCTGAGAGGAGGCTGGGCAAGGGGGGCATTCAAAGGAGAGCCAGGAGCAGCTTGGGGATTGCACAGCATGTTAAAATGGCACGGGGCTCGCTGCAGTCACTGATGCCCCATCACTGCCCATCTGCTCCCTCTTACCCACGGGAGAAGTTGCCCAGGTTAGCTTCTATATACCACGGGGTAAGAAAGGACAGATGGACAGTGACCTTGCAGCAGCCACTCCATGGCAAAGTCCCCACAGCTGCAATGACCATAGGCTTTGTGCACCCAGAACAAACCATGCCAGAGACCTGCTGGGACAGGGAGTACGGAGCGAAGCAGGACTTCGTCTTTCTGCAGAACAAGGAAGGGCCCTGCCTTTCTCAGCACCCCGCAGATGGGTGAATGGGGCTGGATCCCCTCCAGGCACACCCACACCTGTGGCTGAAAGCCATGCCTGGGAGGGAGAACCAGCCACAACCAGGTATGAGTGACATGCTACCACGTCATTGCAGGACCAGGAGAGGCTCCCAGTATCACTGGCAGGCCCAGGCATGTTTCAGGGCAGGAATTCCCCAGCAGGCTGACACGGAAAGTGTGAGCGGCCTTTGCAGCCTCTCATGCCCGGAGCCAAGGGGTGATGGGGGCCCTACAACGCATGCTGGCAGAAGCAGTCCTGCGGGCAGAACCCACGTCTGGGCGAGACACGAGAAGGATCTCTCCATGGTGGGTCCAGCTGGCTTAGCACAGCGAGCAGCTCCCACATTCAGGGCTCACGGGGCCAAGAGGTTGAGCCTCCAGGGCTCTGGAGGTAAGCGTTGCAATCTCGGCTCACGCCAGGCAGAGCGCTAATTAACAGGCTTGATGCCGGCACCGACGCAGCTCTGGTTTTGACACGTTATCCCTCAGGGCGCTGCTGGGGGGAGGGCCTGTCCCTGGGATGCTCAGGGGCCTTGATGTCAGGTCCCCGCCTTGTTCCCAACAAAGGGAATCCAGGCTCACGGCCAGAACGGGGCACGAAGAAGATCCTGGCTCTGACCAGCCCCTTGCTTTCCTGGGCTCCCATCATTTGATGTGTCAGCAAGGAGGAAGCTGCCAGCATGTAGCAACAGCTGGCATGGATGCCACGGGTTGCAACGGTTACAGCTTTAAATGCTCAAGCCTCAGCATCTTCCTCTTTTTCCTCCCACCCAGTGACCGGATCCCACTTCTGCATTGGCAGGCACGGGCGCACCAGGGAATCCTCCATCCCCGGAGAAAAGCCTGCAGGGCACCCTACCTTGGCCTGTCCTGCCCCACAGGTCAGCGATCACCCAGGTGAAGCTGGAAGGGGCTGAAATACAGGTTTGGTGCACCTGAGAAACCGGCCAGCCCCTGCTGCTCCCTGGGGCACCTTCACACAGCCTGCTCCAGTACGCAATGCCTCTGGTCCTAAAACGCAGCTTGGCCATGTCTCGTCTCCATTTCCAGTCCACGGTGGCATCTCATGCGCTGCAATGTGCTTAGCTTTCCTCTGGCTTCAGCTCCGCTGTCAGCCCTCCTCCCTCGCAGATCTCACCCAGAGCTTTTTGCATCCTGCTGGCTAGAAATCAGCCCTTTGCCTATCCGCTGTGGTGGGTCAGAGCATAGGCACCAATCCACCAGGTGCTGAGCTCGCCTGGTGCTGGGCTCAGCTCATGCAAAAGGCCTCACAGGATTTGGCCCTGGGCTGGTAACTGCAAGGCAGGGGCTGAAGTGCCTTGTCTCCCTGCTAAGGTGCCTGTGTTCAGTTAGGAGCTCAGGTACAGTCGCCAGGCTCCACAACCCCACTCCGGCTCAGGGAGGAGAAGGAGCAAGGTCTCCTATCTCTCAGTCAAAGGGGGAAGGGGTTCAAGGTGCACCCACCTCTGAGTCCTTGAGCAAAGTTTCCCTTGCCCCTGATAACACCCAGGGCTGCTGGCTGAACCCTGGAGCTGGTGCACGAGTGCATGCATGGGACACACCTCAGGCATGTGCCAAGATTTTTCTGCCCAGAGAGGCTGCTTTTTCCATGCTTGCCTTTCCTGAGAAGCCTGTGGTCTGTGGTTTGGTGACACAACTCTGACAAGGCCTGGCTGCCTCACACCTCTGCAGTCATGCTCCCTGCCCCACCCCTAAGCCACCACAAAGCAGTCTATTCTCCCGTCATTTCTGCTCTCAGCGGGACCCGATGTTCCCGATAAGGCTTGTCTCTGTAACTGCCCTAGACATGGCTGGTTGCACAGTAGCAAGAAAACTTCTCTCCCTTTCTTTTCCATCTTTTCAACTCCAAACGTTGCCGCTGAATCTCCCTTTTCCGTCACATCTAACTGCGGATGCACGCACCGTCGTGCCACAGTCTGGGTTCTGCTCTACAAAGAGCGCAAAGGATGATGCTGGGGGGGCATAGAGGAGGGGAGTCTCCAAGTGACCTGTGCATACCCAGTTTCACTGCTGGTTGCTCAAAGAGTGGACAGACATGTAGCCGCCAGGTGCTAATTGCCAGTCATTTGTCTGCCCCGCTCCATTGCACACCAGGGATAGCAAGGAGAGCCCCAAATACCAGCCCCAAACGGTAGCCACCCCACACCAACCCCACTAGGGAAACACAGAGCTGCACGCTCTAGGAAGCTGTGGGAAACACACCTACCCCCAAGAGACCAAAGACCTGATCCTGGTCCCGCTTCGGCTGGCAGGAATGAAGACTCTCCCCAGTGAAATCAGTGCTGTTAGGGCAGCGAGCGCACAGGACCCGCAAATCCAGAGCCACCCGTTCCTTCACTTTTCAACGTTCAGCTTCAAGGGTCTTTCAGAGATGGCTTGGGAATACATTATTCCCTGTCCCTGATGCCCGGGGGTCTGACCTGGGAACAGGTAGCCGGGCAGCGTGGAAGGGCCACAACAAGCCCCCGCTGCTTTTCAGATCAGAAAAAGGGAAAAGAGCCAGAAAAGGGACAAGAAGTGAAGCAAAATCAAAAGAAGCTGAGAAATGGGGAAGACATGGAAAGAAGGAAACACAGAGTCACAGGCACCCCTCTCTGTGAGCAGCTGAAACCATGAGCCATGGCACGTATCTAGGCATTTGCACGCCCGCGCTTTCTCTTTCAAGCCTGAGACTTTTTTTACCCCCTCAAGGCAGAACTTTTTTTCCCCCCAAGGACTTGGTCGGGCTGAAACGCAGTGAAACAAAGCAGCATTCAAGGCAGGTCCCCCTGCGCCAGGGAGGGGGGAACGGAAACTCGCATCCAAACCCACCTTTGCCCCAAGAGAGCCTGTCAGAAGAGCATGCCACTGCTCTGCCTGTGAAGCCAGCGCTTCGGAGTTACCTGCCACAGTCCCGAGGGCTGATCCGAAGCTGATGCAAGACCCAGGGACTTCCTAGCAAGGAATGAGCGGTGGAGAGCGGCTGTCCAGGCTGAGGGCAGACAACTTTCTGAGCGGTGCTGAAGTCGCAGCACACTGGCTCGCAGTCCTGTACGGAGGAGAGGGAGGTTGGACCAGCCCTTCTAACTCCACCCTTCTGCCTGCGACCCATGGAGCTCTGTGTCTGCGCATGTTTGCGTTTTCTTTGGCAAGCAAGCTGCCGTCAGCAGCCTCTCTTTCCGGGACCCGGCCCCCCAGGGAGAAGGAACATGCAGGCGTGTTGCATTGCAGCTGCCTGGTTCGCTCCCAAGTTTGCCCCAGTCGGGTCCCGCACCACGCATTGGCCGTGGCGAGTGGGAAGAGGGGGGGGCTGCTGTGTTCAGGGCTGGGGCAAAGCCCAGGACTGTCAGGGCTAGGGGGGCAAGTGGAGCAAGTGAGACGAAGCAACCCAGGGTGGAAAAGCCACGGATGCCCCACACTGGGAGTCCTTTCCTTTCCTTTGCCAATGTAAAATAAAAGGAGCCCTTGAGAGCAGTGCACCCACCCAAGGGAGGGCTGGACCCATCCCGTGGCCTTTCCCAGGGGAGATGATGCCTGGGAACCACCTCCCATGCCAGGAGCAGCGTGGCCACATCTATGAGCACCTCCAGTGGGACGGTTCGCACAGCTCAGTGACGGTGCCCCTTAGCCCGTCCCCATACCAATGAGCCCAGCCGTGGTGCTGTGTGGATGTGGCTTCTGGTATGGGACACTTCTGCCATGCAGGCAGGCTGCCAGCTGAGCCTTGCGGTCAGAAATCAGGACTCGAGCCCCCTCTGCTTCCCAGAACCGTGACGTTGGAGGAATTAAAGGATGACATCGGGGTCTTTCTTCTTTGCTGCTTCCTGAACCTTAAATCATGTTCATATTGATCCCTTTTTTTTTTCTGACCTCCTACCGCCGGGCTGGTAGGAGGTCTGACATCCTGCAAGGCCAGCCTGAACGGCCCCAGGGCTGGCAGCGCTCGATCAGCCCCCACAACTCGCATTGCTCCGGGGCCTCTTTGTTTTGCTAAGATTTGATGGAAGGCCTCTCCGAGGAGGCTGGAGATCTGGACAGACTGTACTGAGGGGCCTGTTTTCCTCCCAGTGGAATATTCCATAGATGCTGGGCAAGTCTTCTCCGAATATTTAAATGCACTGGCTGACACAAAGGCCCGGGAAAGAAAACAGCAACTTCCTCCAACCTCAGCAAACCGGAGGAGCCGGCATGTATTTTTTGCAGCCATCCCCACCTCCAGCTAAGCCACGAGGCATCGGGGCAGGACAGCAGCCTACGACAGTGAGAGCTTGCAGGCTGCAAGGAGGGAGAGTTGTTCGTCCAGGCAGTCCATGGAGAAATAAGCAGGGCCAACAGGATGTAGTGAAGCAAGGGAAAATTTTGCAACTTGGGAAAAGCGTTCTGGGGCACGAATAAAATTAGGACCCTGCCATATGCAAAATGGGGAAAAAATCTGCCTCCGCAGGGGCAGGAGCCACTTCATGAGGCTGTCCCATCTCTGGCACCTCAGGTCCAGTTGTCACAGAAGGCAGCAAGGGTTAAAGGAAAGGCGCATTTTGCTGCCATCCGCATTTAGAAGGAGCAGAGAGCAGAATTCAGCAGACGTGCTGCCAGCCTTAATGCTCCATCCATCCTGAATATTACTTCACAGGGAGCTGAAGGGCCTAGCAAACTGCGGCTGCTTGATTCACATGAAAATCCTTTTTGTTCTTTAAATGCATCTGGCATCTGCTTGCAGAAGGTAAATGCTCCAGGCCAAACCCAGCGCTGGTGGAAGCAGGTATTTTAGTCTCTCCTGTTCCAAAAAGGTTCTTTGGAGCATCATAGACCCCAGCCTTCATATCTGAGAACCTCCTTGCAGTGCGTTTGGCCCCTTCCAGGAGCGTCACGTGCGGTTTGTTCTCTCATCTTCTCCTCCGCCTGGTCACTAAATGGTTTGGCTGACCTGTGGTTGCTGAGTGGGTATTTTTGCAGCAGAGGTGTTAAATCTGTCCGTTGCTCTGCACTTCTGTTAGAGAAGGCACAGGGTGCTGGGTGCTTGCAAGTGAAGTCTGCAGCGACGGTGGGGTCCTGAGAGAGTTTACATCCCAGTGTGGGATCAGCTCCCGAGGGAGTCCTGTCTGCTTCCCAGGATGTTAGAGCACCCCACGGGGAGTGTAGAAAGGCTCTGATCCTTGGGAGTGAAGGGGATCGGGAAGGAAAATTGCCATCCATGCCAAGCTAGGAAAGGATTCTGGGGAAGGAAAGGAGGCAAGAGTAGACAAAAATGTGGCACAGGGCGACTAGAACCTCACTACATGTCTGAGTGACAAGAGCCAGGTGAAAGCACCACCTCCTGCCACACGCCTGGATGTATAAAGAGTGTGTAGAGAATAGGCAGAGACCTAGAGCCTGTCTGCTCCTCCAGTACAACTTGCCCAAGCCTGCGAGACTCTGGGGGGAAATCTCCCTGCTACCAGCCACATACAAAGATGTGCTTGGTCTTGCTGGACCTTGCCACGTCCAACCCGGCTGCCCAAAGAAGGACAATGAAGAGAGGAGAGCGACACACGCCTAAAACTTCCTGAGAGCTACCAGAGGGGGATGGACACCCTTGAGGCCCAGCAGTGGCTATCAGGATAATTCATACTTCTTCAGGGCTTTCCATCTGAGGGAGTCTAGGCACTTTACAAGCATTAATGACTCCATCCTCCCAATGCCCCCTGGAAGAAAGTCCTTTTTATAATCACTTTGCCCCTGGGGGAAACTGAGGCAAGGAAAAGTGAAAGGATTTGCCTGGGTCAGTGGCAGAGCTTGACTCCTGGTCCCTGCTTTAACCACTAGGCAGGGCCTCCCCGTGGCAGCCCTCTGCACCACTCTGATGATGGACTGAGCTGCAAGGGAATCTCACTAGGCAGGACTGCCCCTTTACCATTGTCTGTGGAGCCAAGCACAGCAGGGCTCTGACCTTTGACCCTGGGCTAGAGCTCCTAGGTGCTGGCGTGACAGCAATGACTGCAAAACACAGGATCAGAAAGGCTATCTAGAGGAGAGGTGAGGTGGCAGTGACACCCTGAGTGCCCAGGGACACGCCACGGGCTGCCTCAATGACCTGAACATTTTCAAAGTCTCCACACTGTTATTCTGAAGGCATCTTCCCTACAGCAACCATGCCCTGGCCTTAAAGGAATCTGCCCCCAAGATCCAGGGGAGCTCATGGAAAACCCAGCTCTGCAACAGGAATTAGCATAATGATGCACTGGCTGTCGAGAGGCTGGAAAGGATGCAGACCCAGGTGCGGTGGTACCGATTGCAGACAACGCAGGAGCCCTTTGCTGCTATCGCCCATTAGACCCACGTAGCCCAGCCATGATTCAGTTCAACAACAGAGTTCATCCTACACCTTTCAGACCTGCAAGCCAGGTCTCACTCTTAAGACCCCCATCCCCTGTGACCGTGGTGCACATCTCCCTTCCCTCAGTGCTGAGTGAAATGCTCTGGATTTCCAGGTTGACAGAAAACCCCGGCCTCCCAGGCATTTCCACAGCGTGGAGCAGTTCTGCTCCTTGTTCCTCAACGTAAACACCAGCAGCAGCGAGCGCCTGCCAGCAGCCTGGCCATAATTACTCTAGCATATCTCAGTCTTCTCACTCAGCGTGGTTTTGACTAATGTTGAGCAGTCAGGGATTTCTTCACTTACTGTAAAAGGCAGAGAAATTTCGCAGTCCCACCGGCTGCATGGCTCCCCTCTGGTATTGCTGGAAGGTGGCATCAGCTTGGCTTGAATGTTTGCTTATTAGCAGGAGTCTCATAAAAGGACCTGATGGAACGGTTGAGTGCGCTGGTAAATTTGGTCCGTAGTACTGCCGTCCAAGTAAGTGGG